GCAGATTTCCCCGGGCAGCTGCTATTCGTAGAAATGGAGAGCCAGGAGAGAAATGTTTTCTTCTAGAGAAGTTTCCATAACATTAACAACAGAGACTTCTCTCCCTAAGTGAATGAAGAAAGACTATTCTAGCCAGGAAATCTCAAATTATCAAACCAAAACCACAACACTCTCCTTCTAAGAACATGATTGTGGGAAGGCAGAATCTGGGCTCCCCCATCACTGTACAGGAATGTGCTTTTAACAAGGAAGTACATGAAATCTGTTGTATCCTTGTTTCAAGAGGGCCTAAATTCCTCACTCCTGCTGTACACTCACATGGAAGAGGGCCTTAGAAAATGAGAAATCTCCCTGAGTTTCCAAACAAGGGCCAAGTTACTAAACAGTAGGAAGCAGAGCCTCATGTTCATCAGAGCAGCATCACCAAACAAAGCCTTTTATGGGAGAAAGTAGAGGCCTTGCAGTAGCAGGTCTGCCTGGCCTGAGAGAAGGGAATAGTGTGAAGAGGGAGTCAGGAAGAGGCAGAGGAAGGTCCCACGTACCATTGAACATGCTGTTGGCAATGGCCCCGCACGGCGCCATCGGGGTCCCGTTCCTGTAGGTGCTGAAGGGCGTGCAGTAGCTCCTCTGGATCTGCATTCAAGGCCACACAACAATCAGGCACAGACCCAGGATTTGGTTTTAACTGGTGTCCTCCCATGCCTTCTTCTGAAAAGCCACTGAACAATTAAGTCTCCAGTACCTTTTGGTCACATTAGAGAGGCATCAAATGAATGGGTCTGTAGTTCAGGAACACCTTCCATATCTAGGCACAGAAACTTAAGGGCTTCACCAAATTCTGCTGCTGACTTGTAAGCTCTAGACTACAAAAAACAGGTTTGGGGATCTGCTATTGTAAAATGGCTACAACTGAAAATGCTTCAGTGAAGCCTTGGTTTACCCTAGAACATCTTATTTCACCTTCTTTTTAATTCTGACCTGGGCTGAATTAGTGCTGGAGAACAGCAGATGTAGCTGGCCAAATTACTGCAGGTCAACAAGGCCAAATCTTGATGTATGAAGATACAGAATGAAAAACAGAAGTCCACCTCAGCTTTACCACATCTTTCCTACCCCATTTTATAAGAAACTATAAATCTTCAGGTTTGAACATAGAAACATTTCCAAGTAACTCCAATGAGCTGTGTATCTGATTGGCACAAAAGCCAAAAGCAGCTGCATCTTTATGCAAACAAACAAGCTTACAGGACACCTGGAGAGTTTTAAGAAGCATTTTATAGAAATGAGAAACATGCCTTGAGAGTTGTAAGAAGTATTTTATAAAAACAGATTACCATGGCACAACCACCACATATACTGAAAGGACATGTGGACTATGTGTATATTAAGAAATGCTACTTTTAAGCCAAGAACATATGCTTTAGATTTGTAAGTAAAAGCCTGAATGCCATGATTGCATTCTCCAGTTTCCTTATGCAGGTCTGCTGCAGGTGATGATGTCTACTCCCTCTTCAGACTTCTGAATTGCATACTTAGAACGCTACATGATCACTTCTTTCAGAACTAACCTTTTCCTGCTCCTTTTCCGCTTCCAAAGCCAGATGGAAAAACTAAAGACTTAGAATAACTTAATTCCCTAGCACAGCTTAAAACATTTCTGGCTAAGAAGACTGACAACACAAGAAGGAAAAGTTTTCTGCACGTTTATTTGAAAAAGACAATGTATTTTTAATCAGCACTACAAGGTGCAGGTTTGAGAACTGCAAGACAGGACTGACATCTTTTATTTACCCCCCACCCCCTTCAACCTTCCTCTCTTATTAACTTATTAGGCATAATGGCCTGAACAAGCATAAAAGCTATGACCAAAGACTGAAAATCTGTACTTTATTACTCCCTAGAGCCACTTAAACACACTTATGGTTCTCCATATGGTCAAAGGCACACCTGCTGCTGATCTTACAACAGCAAAAGAAAACTCACATTTACATTTCGGCCTAACAGCTGCGCGTCACTTCTTGATTTCACATACCGACGATGGTTTTGATAGAAGTTTTGCAGACCATAGTACATAAAAACATCACCCTAGAATCCAAGGATAAATGTCTTCAATAAGGAGAGTTCATGAAGGCAATGAGAAATCTTATTAGTTGCTAAAAAAGAGGGGAGTACTCATATTAAAATGACTGTAACTACACCCTAAGCAATACAGCAGTCAGGGGCTAGAATCTAACCTTTACCCTAACTGTAAGTTTTTATGTTTTGGCACACAATTAAGCATAGTTTAAATCACTAAACAAAACCTGATAATTATTTTACTCAAGATGGCATGGCTGGCCATGAACTTGCAATGACTATGAATAATATTGCAAAGACAGACACTCATTTTCCATAAAAGAAGGTGCACAAAAACCTTCACATTAAAAGAAGAATCGTGGACAGGCAAATCATGCATGAAAGGTAATTATGCAACTATAAAAACCCATTACTCAGTTAAATTAACTTCTCATCTCAAACATCACTGTAATCTGAAGAATTACAAAGTATTTTAACAGCCTTCTCAATACTGAAGAATCCTAAAGTGACTTTAAATTACACTGTCATTTTAAGGGATCATTTATTCAGTACTAAATATAAAATCTCTTTGGCAGAACATGAAGCATTTTAACAGTCTCAATAATACGACCTGGTAGTTTAAGGAAGGAAATTAAGGATATTTTTTCCAAAAGAAACTTCAGAATCACATTGCTAGAACTTGAATTATTTCAATGACCTTGGGGATTAGCAGCACAACTCTTGGAAAATGACTACAGGGGTCTATTTATGTAAAGTGGTCAGAGCTTCAGATTTCCTTCTCACTTGAAAGTTTAGCAGGGCAGCAACAACCAGTCTCAGGCCAAGGGCAAGGCTTTGCCTCTGATTCAGAGAGAGAGACAGAGAGAGGTCACCTCCACAATCAAACACCATCTCCTCCACCCCCTTCTTCTCCTTGGGCACCTCCCAACCAAGGGGCCTGGTTGTGATTATAAATAACAAAATGAACAATACAGGCAAAAGTGTAAAATTTTGAGCATAACATCTTCTGAAAAAGTACAAAGCAAATTTAGTCAGGAGCTCCACAGAACAGAATTACTGTCTTTTATCATTTAGGGATATAAGTAACAGGTGGTATGAGCTGGTTTTTGCACCCACTTACCAATATATCTTCCTTTAGAGTGAAATTAATCGAACAGTGGCATTCCTTATTCCAGTTAGAGGAGTTTTCACGGAGCTTTGTGCAATCTGAGCATTTATCTGAATAATCTATCTGTCAGAGAAGCGAACAAGAACAAGCAAAGATATTGTCACAAAGAACATGCTCATAGGAAAAGGTTAGTGGTTTAGGTTCAAGGCTTCTCAGAGCTGTTCTCTTCTAAGTGACCCTGGACTGGCAAAAACATTGTTGAAAATGAAGAGGCAGAGTGAGGACTTGGCCTCAATGAACAACCACAAAATTTATCCCTATCTTAAAGCTGGTTTAAAGCCTTTTGGTTTGCAGAACTTTCACGTCTGCTCCTTGGCAAAGGAATGCTGAGTGAAGAACACTCCTGCATCTTGGGCTGGCTGACCAAGCAATGCTTCACAAATCCCCTCATGCATTATGGCCCACCCCACTGAACAGCCTGGGTGTAGTGCTCAGTGTTGGCTCCAAACAGGAGTCTATTCACAACACCACAGGTCTGAATAACCTTTTCTGCAGGAGGGATTTAAACATTAGGACTCCCTGTATTTCAAGATTTTGCCCAGCAAACATTTATGTTCTCATAGTGTCAAACACTCTCTGAGGGATTTGCTTATTTCCCTTCAAAACCCCAGAAGATAATGACAACATTTTGGCAGTAATTATCACCCACATTTCAGATATTACCACCCAGTGCTCAGATTTTATTGATGCCTCTGAAGATTTGTACAGGAATACCAGCTGCTGGACACATGTCCAAAGCATAAAGCCATTGCTATCATCTTTACTCAAAAGCAAAATCTCAAAGCCTTTTCTCTCCAAACCTGGCCTGGTTTCTACTTTAGAGAATATCAAAGAACATCACTCCCAAACCAACCTGTACTTCTCTGACGCTGTTTGCAGACAGGACAAGGCAGACTCCCACAGTGAGGCAGAATGCCCCTGTCAGAAAGAAGCTGGAGAGCACAGATCCAATGGTGAGCTGGGGCTTCCAAGCTGGCAGCCTCTGCTGTTTGAATGCACTGTTATCTGGACACCTGGAAGGTTGGGCTTCTCCTTCTCTGGGAACAACACTTGTCTTGTTTTTCATTTTCTTCTTGGTGAGAGAAAGGAGTAATATCCTTGTGCTGGAGAGTGTTTCAGCTGAGATACTGTCTTTATTGTTGGGAGACTGTATTCGTTGCTCAAACTTGCATTGTGGTGAGGAATTACTTATTAACTAGATCTCTCTCTTCCTTGTTTCCTGTACTTGTGCCTGGATCCCCACGATCAGCTTGTGCCAATCAAGTGATTGTGTACTTTGATCAGGCTGTCCAGTTCATTCCTCCTGGAAAAGCTTATTTTTCCTGCTCCACAGCTCATTAGGATTTGTTATGACTTATTAATTTGCAGGGACACTGGCAGCTATACTGGGACTTCAGTGTAATTTCAGATGCATTATTTCTTCTCCCTTCACTTCCATAGCTGCCCAGCTAACAGGCATGGCATATAAGGATTTCACTAGGGAAGGACTGAGACAGCACTGGACAGAGAACACGGCTTTGGAAGACCAAACCAATTTTTTTAACCTATTACATTCATTGCTATTGTCTGAGATGCAATTATAGGGTTGTGTGTTCTTTATCATAGGACAACTCATTTTTAAAATATCCAATTTGGATCAATGGCTTCCCAAGATACTGATGATTTCCTCATCTCTATTCATCTCGTTCTCTGAAAAAGAATCCATCCATTCCCTACTATCTGCAATAACAAAAGAATCACCCAGACATCACCTCATTTTATTTTAAATGGACAAACATAAGAATACTTTTTGCACACTTCAACAGTTTAACCAAAATAAAATCTCAGTGTAATGTACAGATAATTTATCATGTAAGACCAAAAAGCAGCATTTGGTTAGGTCCAGAACAGATAGGTGAAAAATACCTTTTCAACATGTTACTGAAATTCATACAACTTTTTCAAAGACCTCCCAAGAGCAAGTAGATTACCACTCTCATGAGAGAAATACATGTCTCATTTGGGACAGCACAGGGAGGGAACAGAAAACTGAGCTGTGCAAAGACTTTCACACCCATATTTGCTCATCTTCAAAGTCTTACTTGTGACATGTAGTAGTAAATCTAGCAGGTGAAAGCAGTGTAACTCTGGTTTCAGTATGACATTGTTGCTGCAATAAAAATAATACTAGAACTACAAACAAAACATCTAGGTTTTTATTAAAAGAAAACTCAGAAAAAGTTGCAATGTGCCTTCTGTATTGAGACCTCTGAAAAGTCAAAATTCAGTTGCAGGCAGGATATTAGTAAAATGCAGCTGCAAATTACTTCCTTGTTGGTAAACTATTAAAAGAGTCCCAGCTTCACAGATCCATCTCTGCACAGCTTTATAATACTTTTCTCCAGTAGGTCAATTGTTTCTTTCTTTATCTGGAAAAACAAAAATCAAAGAAAGCATAAGAAGTTACTGATAATGATACCATTATTTATTTACTCAGGCACCTTACTATAGAAATTAAAGAAGAGATTCCTATACAAGGTCCTCTAGAACATTTCCAGTTTTTAAAAGACCCATCATTTGCCCTGCAGCCCTGAAGTCCCATTTCACATGGCTACAGAAAGTTTGTCATTGGCAGAGTTGATAAAGCACACCACAGGAAAAGGCCCATCCTGGGCTGCACAATCCCCACAGAACTTTCCAGAGCAACAATTGGCATAAAGCAGATGAAGGGCAGTGCAAGAGGCACAGCCCTGTCTGTGTCTGAGACACCTGAATGAAAGTGAGCATGAAGGTCAGGTCTGCTGTGCTGCAGTACAAAGAACTTTGGTTTACGACACTGATATGGCCGTGGCTTATGGCTTATCTAAAGATAAAACAAATGTATTACAGAGTAAATATTGACTTCATACTTCAGAGGGAACACAGGATTCTTTATCATCATGCTTAGTCCAGAGTTTCCTTATAGCTCCCTCTTACAAATCCCTTGTTTGCAGGTTTTCTCTCAGGATTATATTCTTTCATGCCTCCACTTTGCAGAGGAATAAATGATGTAAGAAAGCCCAGCCAGGCTCAGTTTCAGACTGGATGTGCTACATGAAGATGAACACAGTTGTCTTCTATCACAAGTCCTTTTCTCACAAACCTTTCATTTTCATGGCATATGCAACTTAAACAACATATTTTCAAATTTACTAAAGGCTTGGTGTGTGTATTGTTTGTAGAAAACACAATATTGGGTTTTTTTGAAAGGAAGCTTGTCCTTTGGTCAGATCATATAGTATACAATCCATTTTTATTTACACCTTTATGCTTTACTTCAATTCCAGTGTGCCAAGACAAAGTCTGATAAACTGATTCACTCCTCCTGTGGTTTCTTTGAGAGCTTTCATCTCCTCCTCTCTCCATTGTTTGGGATGAATGAAGTGGGACACACAGGAACAGGGAATGAGAAATTCCAGCAGCATTAACTAATGAGATGCTGAGGGAGCTGACAGAGCAGTGGATCAGGGCACCATCCCTTGTGTGGATATGATGGCATATAGAACTGCCACGTGGGATGATCTATGTGCTTCTAAATTAATATATTTATTAAAATATAAATACAATATTATAACAATTATATTATAATGTTATGTATTATAATATAATATTCTAATATATTAGAATATAAATATAATTCTGTGTACATAATTGTACACTGAACATTGTGTGACTACCAAAACAGCAAGTACATTGGACATGTGCTTCCAATTGTTCTTGCTTTCTGGTTTAAAAACAATGAAATTCAGCAATGCTGCACCTTAAGTATGCAAATAAATTATTGATACTTGACATTTGCACTGAAAATAGGCCAGTATGCTGAGTTTCTAAATTTAAGTGTACAATTTTGCCTCCATAATTAAAACAGGTGGAAGAAATTAGTACATCAAACAGCCTATTCTAAAAATTGCCTTTGCTACTGTATTTCCTCTCTTTGAGACAACTTATAAGTATTCATAGCATGTATTTGACATTTTTCTATACAATGAGAAAGGCTGACTAGGACTGTATTCCATATTTGAAGCCCACAAGTTGCTAGAACATCCCATTGGTTTATATGTGATTTTAAAATATCACCAAAACATTATTTGGGTGTCGTTTGCTGTTGACATTCCTTATACATAACTTTAAGCAATCTGCCTGATGTCTGCAGTGGGATAAATACCTGCTAAATACTCCACTTATAAAGCCCAAGATGTCAAAAACCTTCCTTTATGATGTGTTCCATGAGCAAAGAGCAGTTTGAAGACTTTTCTGTAATTATATATTCACTATTCTGTAATCACACACAACTATCTATTGCTTATCCTAACACAATATATGATGGTCCAGTGATCTTACTTACCCAGATTTAACTTGAACTAAGCTTTAAATTTTTATGCTAAGACAGCCTTAGGATTTTGCCTTCATAAAACAGACTTGGAGTCACAACTTTAGGCCTATATTTCTAGACAGACACACAGAACTACTATGATGCTGCCTACAGTGAGCTGAAAGATATACTTGAGGTTTGCAATAGCCAAAATGAAATAGTGGCAACATAATCTTTATTTTTTGGAGGTGGAACACCTATGGTCTACTTTATTGATGCTGACTTCAGCTAACTTAAAAAATTCCTCCCACTGCCATCAACACCTTTTGTACTGCCTGTGATTTTGTACTGTACTGTCTGGGATTTCATGTTTTCTGTTCTTTAAAAAACTTACAGGTAAGTGCAGGCACCATCCAAAAAAAGCCTTATGTATTGTAAAAAAATGCCTTATGTATCAGCCACAAGAGGGAGCCTCCTTGCCGCCAAAAAAGCAAAGGCAGGGCATTTTTTGCTACTTCATTTCTTCAATGTATTTTTTTAGTTTTGTTTTGTGTATGTGGGGCTGTAAAATGCAGCACATTCAAATACTTAGACAAGTACATAAATGGATTAATGACTGATAATTTGTTTCACTTGTGAAACAGCTTAATGTTTATATGCAAAAGAATATGCAATCTTTTAAAATGTTTATATGCAATCTTTTCCCTGGAGATTCCTTCCACGTATGGGCCTGCTCTAAACGCACAAAACCTCAAGACACTGTGCAGGAAATTGGGAGGTTTCTAACAAGCATTAATGGAGGAAACTGCCTCTTCATCTGGCTAGAAATAGGTGATGCCCCACAACAGACTGTAAACACAGCTTGTTACAGCAAGAAATACAAAAGCAGGATTACAGAACTGGAAAGAATTGGGAATTATTTTAGAAGGAGTGCACAAGTGATGGACAGGTTGAAGTTGTTTGTACCCTAGTTCTTGTCAAAAGAAACAAAAAAGAATACAAAAGGACAAGAAAGACAAGGAAAAAACCCCAAGAGAACTGTCTGTAGATTTCATGTGATGCTATCTTGCTCTCAGGTGGAGAAACATAGATGTTTGGCCATAGTTTTGTTTAGTTTTTGAGGAAACTTTTCACTGAATCACAGCATATGCTGAGTTGGAAGTGACCCAGAAGGATCAAATCCAAATCCGTGCCCTGCACAGGATACCCCAAGAGTCACACCCTGTGCCTGAGAGCATTGTCCAAACACTCATTGAAGTCTGTCAGGCTTGGTGCTGTGACCACTGCCCTGGGGAGCCTGTTCCAGTGCCCAACCATCCTCTGGATTAAAAACGTTTTTCCTAATATCCAACTGAAACCTCCCCTGATATAACTTCAGGCCACTCCCACAAGTCCTGTCCCTGGTCACCACAGAGCAGAGATCAGTGCCTCTCCTCTCATCCTCACAAGGAATTTGTAACTGCAGTGAGGTGTCTCCTCAGCCTCCTCTTCTCCAGGCTGAACAGCCCAAGGGACCTAAGCCTCTCCTCACAGGGCTCCCCCTTGGGGCCCTTCTCCATCCTCATGACCCTACTTTGAACACTCTCTAACGGCTTTACACCCTCATTATGTTGTGACCAGAACTACACACAATATCCCAGGTGAGGCCAGCCCAGCTCAGAGCAGAGCAGGACAATCCCCTCCCTGCCTGGCTGTGATTGTGTCCCTGATGCCCTCAGGATAGGGTTGGCACTCCTGGCTGCCAGGGCACTGCTGGCCCAGATTCAACTTTCCATCAATCAGGACCTCCAGGTCCCTTTCCATGGTGCTGCTTTCCAATGTCGCATTCCTCAGTCTGTCTGTACATCCAGGGCTGCCCCATTCCAGCTGCAGAATCCAGCACTCCCCTTTGTTAAATTTCACACATTTGGTGATGCCCATCTCTCTCAATTATCGAGGTTTAGGACTCTGTACAAAGTCCTCCTGCTGAGGGAACTTCCTAGGGACAGGTAGAATATCCAGGGAGCATAAACAGGGGAAACCACAGCACAACCACACAGCTGTGACTTGCAACAATAAAGGAAAAATTATTTTCAGGAAATAATTTTGAGACCCAGGAGTACAGACTTCTTAGTCAATGTGAACTTCTTTGTGCTCCTTTCCCACTGAAGACAGCTTTACAGAAAGAAAACTTTACTGACCAAGACCTGAGAGCTACCAACAGAAGTACTTAATACACAGAACAGAACATATACAGGTGCTTATACAATACCTCAGGGATGTCCATCATTCTCCTCAGTTTCTGGTCTCTCCAGTTCCAATCCAGAATCATATATTTCACAGAGTTTAAGCACAGGGCATCTAAAAAGGCAACATAATTTTTATTACCAAGATAATATTACATGTGCTTATCAAAATGATTTTTGGCTTTTACATCTTTTGCTGTCTGTTTCCAAGGAAACTAATCTTTGAACACTTAAGTACTGCATTTGCTGCTTGGAAAACTAATGCACTGACACTGCAAACTCCCTTAGCCATATAATCTCATGCCTTTTTGGAAGATAAAAACAAAAGCAGAACAACTACTGCTGCCAGACTTGTCAAGAGCTTAACATCCTGCCAGAAAGTAATTCCTCAAGCTTCCTCTTGATGAAACCACAGGAGTTGAATTTCCACAGCTGATGTCACTGGTAAGTTACAAGGACCCTAACCTGAAAATTGATGTTAATAGGAATAGACAATGTTCAGCAATTCACAGGACAGGGTGCTCTGTGAATATGAGTCAGGTCAGTGGTGCTGCTGAAGAACTCCTTTATCCTTAAATAAGTGGTGGTGAAAAAGAAGGTCCTTTCTGAACTTGCTTTTCAGCTGTTCTCCTATTTTTTCCCTGGTCTTCTACATGATGCTCACCATTTTTTCCCATCAGTTTTGAATCCTCTCCCCTCCCTAAGTCCCTTCCCAGTACTGCAACACTAAACTGTCAAAAAAGAACTAGAGCTTGGGATAAAATTTAACATTTCCAGGGATGGGCCATCCACAGCTTCTCTGGGCAACCTGTTCCAGTGCCTCACTACTCTCATGGCAATGTGCTGATGTGCTGAGCACCAACATTTAATCTTGGTGGAAGCAACAAAATGATGTTACTGCTGCACTCTTTTGGAAGGAGCAGTAGAGTCCCAAACCCACTGTCTGATGTCCCTGACCAAGAGACCACAGTCAGAGCAAGACAGTGTCTTGCATAAGAGGAACAGAAAGAATTGCCTTATCATCTTGTCATTTTGTTGTTTCCTTTTCTTTGTGTACATACTGTCTATTGAGTAAGTAAAAATACTCAAAATTTAAAAGATTTAAAGAGAATAATTATTTTTACTACAGGCAAATGAGAAATAAGATCAAATCAGCAAGCAGATCTTTCCTACACCCCTCACAAAAGTTTACACTAAGTTCACAGTAACATATGATACAGTGACTTCTGCCACTATTCCCTTTTGATCCACTTGCAGTGTTTGGTTTCCTGGAGCTTTAAATCTCACATTATGGTTTTGCAATCACTTTCAAGTCAGCATAAATCAGTATTTCTGCCAAAAGAGGAAGTCCCCCACCTCTGCCTGCTCATTACCTGATTTTGTGTGCATGCTGGTTTTGGTTTAATTGGGGTCATTTCACTGAGCTGCCAAACAGACTCTAGGGCTTACACAGGGAGCAGGAAGAGGGAACAAGCACTGACTGGCAGGTGAGAGGAAACATTTTTCTGCCTTTCTCTGCTAATACTGGCTTATGCCAGCCTAAAGTGATCATAAAACAAAGCACCAGAACCTTGACCTTGTTTTGACTGACATAGCACAAGTGAAGAAACAGAACCATACAGTTTAGTACCCAAATCTACACGTTCATGTCAACCTAAAAAAAAAAACAACCAGTTTAAGTTTCACTTCTCATGAGACCAAATATAAAATGCCTAGGGAGGAAACCCTCCTTGTTCTCCTACCTTGCTCCACTAGTGCCTTTACTCTCCCAGGAGTTCCAACCCCAATGTGGAACATGCCTTTCTCCAACATATTCATTTGTTCCTTTATCTAATTTGAAGAGAGAAAGAAAAATCAACAGTAAATCCATAATTGCCTTAAAATTTCTTCTCAAGGAATTGGAAATAAATTCAAGATCTCATTGTATTTCTTTCTAGAACACCATCAAGTAACAAATTATATTTGCCTTTCAAACTGTCAAATGATTATATCTGGAAGAAAGTTTAAGAAATATAGCAAGCCAGCTGGGCATCACACTTCTCTAGAGGTTCAATCTTTTTTAACTTTAAAAATCTGCCATTGCACCAACTATTTTTGGAGGCGAGAACAGCAAGAACCCTTCAGCATTTAAACAAATGCTCTGGAATACTGAAAAACTTGAATTAAATCTGAAGTCCTTCAAGATGAAGATACTGGAAAAAGGTGAAATAAAGCAAATGACATTTGTGTGTTTGAGAGCATTTATATCAAAGGCCAACTGTCCATTCATTATTCTCAATAATTTGTGCTTTTTAACAGGTGTGGATACTGGGGATCCAGGCATTCAATTTTCAGAATCCAGATGTGGGTGGTGGACAGTTTGCTTGCACAGAGCTGTGTGTGTGAGCCTGCTGGCACTGAATGAGCACCTGATGGGGATGTGAACAGTGAAACTCAGCAGGTGCACAAGCACCTACACTCTGCACAGGGCTGCACCAGAGCTACTGGAGATGGTGCTTAGTGAAATTCTTCCCACTGCAGCAATGGGCTACCAAAGGAAGCACTACTTAAAGCAAGGAACTTCATATGAACACTGTATGAAAGGCACTACTGCCAAAGGATTTAAAAAGAAAATTGTATCACACTATTTAGCTGTTTACTTGCTCTATTAAAGTTCCCTACCTTTATGTGCTTTGCAAACAACTTGATGACTCTGCAATCTCCTTTAAAGGCTGTCATTGACCTAATAATAAAAAAAGAAGAACGGTGAAGTTCAAGAAGCAGGGCTGGGCTTAAGACCACACATGAGGAAAGAAAAACCAACTGGCATTTCTCAATACATTTGAGACACACAGAGTCCCCCAGTGAACTCTGGTTGTACTCTGAACACTGTGTACATTCTTGTTTGCTACTCATCAACAGAGATCAACAACTGGACAGACACAGTGGAAGATACCAGGGCAATATTGTTTAGATGGATTGTCAGATAATATTTAATATTATGGTCTGTGCTTTCACAGCTAGCTTAGTTCAAAACTGGTTAATCACCAAATCCTAATTAAAAAATGATTCTGTTACTGAGATAAAGGCATTAATGAATATGAGTGTGTGTGCAGAAAAGGAAGGATCTGTGTATGGATAAATCTACATTTCAGACTTCCTGCAGCATGGCTGCTGGGACAACCTAGGCTGTCACTGTCTTTACTGCATACATTGTCCAAATTCTAATTAACCAAACTAATTTGTTAGAAACCTTGACTTGTTTTTCTGATACTCCATTTTGGCACACCGTAACAACTCTATGTTCTGTATTCATCAAACAGGAGACAACATATTCAGTATTTATTTAATGTCATTTAAGACAGCTTGTTCTGCATGCTTCTTACAGTGCAAAAAATTTTTAATTTGCAAAGCTAAAGGTTTATCTACATCTAAACCACCTAAGTCACAGGTGCTAGTCTCTGCATGCATGACTGGAACTTATCTGCCTTATCTATGCTTATATCTGTGTCACGGAATCAAACTTCCCAAATCTCCATCTCAGTTTGTATTGACAGATAAGTAGGGTCAAGACATAGAAGACAACCATGAAATTTGTGAGGTATCCATCAATTCATCAGCCATCAAAACTTCTGGCATGAGAAGTAGGAGGAAAGAGAAGAGGAAAAAACTGAGATAGTGCACACTGAAAATTGTCATCTCTGCCCCGCAGTTTTGCCGGCCTGAGCCAGCTGAGAATAGCTGAGAACACTGACACAGACCTGGAGGCACTCAGGCCAGACACACCTTGGCATCTGAGGCCCTGAAATGCCATGTCCTCATTGCCTTTGGTGTAAAGCCCTGACTTCTAGTGGTGGATCATAATGCTTTATGGGCTTACTCTGTTCCCAAGCATAACATGTTCCATGTTTCCCCTAAATTGGTTACCCTTTACTTTTGGTTTTTAACAAAAGTAACACTTCCCAGGCAAGTGAAGTCCTGAGCATTACTTGAGTCCAAATCCGAACACCACACTCCCAGAGTTTAAAGAAGGAAGGGATATTGCATCAGTTTGAGGCAGTGAATTTGCTGGCTAGCACAGGACAGTGTCCCAGTTTTGCCTTTTTGCCTGTGGTTCCAAGCCAAAACTCCTGAGCGACTGCCAACCTCAACACAGCCCTTGCTGCTGACATACTTGATGAGCTCCAAGGAGCGCAGGGCAGAGCTGCAGAGCACCAACATCACCAGTGACTTCTTCTCCTTGTGGTTCCTCCGGAGCTTCGCCCACTTCGGACAGACTGCAATGGAAAAGCCCTTGTAGCCACACAAAGTACTGCATGCCACAGTTTTAAATTACTAGAGTACATGATGAATGGTAGCCAGCAGCAAGAACACACATGCTGACTCCTCTGAGGTCTGGAACTTTGGCATCGCTTTTGTACTTAGTCATGGCTGAGAAACTGGAAAATGGAATGCCCAAAATAAATAAAATACAGAAATATCACATAACTGAAGAAACTAGATAAGCATTAACAATCAACAGTTTTTAAGGTGATGAGCCTGTTGTCTTCATTTGCCACATATGGCAATTTGTATCAGAGAAAACCATCTGCAAAGATACATTTACCAGACCAGAAGTTCTATATAAATATACAAGAGAAAAAAAATTCACTTGGTTTATGTCAGCAGACAGCTGCAGGACTTATTAAAGACTAATTAATATTAAAGTAATTAATATTTCATAATAAACAATATTTGGAGCTACATATAAAATTGCAGTAATATTGTCTTAACTATATTTTTCATACAACTTTCATCCAGACCAACATTTAAACTCACTTTCCTTCAGGTATGAAGAAAAACTGTGGGTAAGATCATTGGCTGGCAAAAAGCAGGAATCTGAAAACATAAAGGAAAAAATATTTTTGTGGTGTATTTTAACAGCAAAGGGAGAACGCATGTTTGCAGTAAAACCACTAGTTATGTTGATGGAATCCCACCTTCATAAATCCATCATCAATAAATTAGCATTTCTGAAACAAAAATTAACATAGAAGAAACTTTGTATGGGTTAAATCAATGAAGGTAACATCTCTGAATTGCAATTTCTTTTTTTTCAACCAGCCTGAAACCTTGAATACTGGGCTGCAGTACAGGTGTGATTCCATGCTTTAAAGAAAGTTTTCATATGTCTTTGTCACAATGAATCAAAGCCTCAGCCAAAAGCCTTACACCCCTAGACTGTTCCTCCAACGTACCTGTGATGAAATATGTTTGTACATCCCTCAAATGATTCATACTGTGTAAATGCAAGAATCTACCAATAATTTACTTGTCAGTAAGTTATGTTTGTTCACCTTCTGGTCTTTCATATTGTGGCAATCCACCTAACTATATCAACCCTAACAGCAACATCTCCACAGCATTTTCAGTGCCCTGTCTTCCTCTATTTCCTGCTGACTTCCTTTTCTCTGGTCACTGCTAACAATGTCTTTTAAAAGCACTCTGTGGCAGACATGCCATTTAATTTCATATAATGGCAATGGAGGTCCTAACAGGTTCTTTGGAAGGTCCTTTCTCATGCCTATACAGAAAATCAAAGTTCTTAAAAAGGTGATTAAAATTCCATGGTCTGAAAACTTGCCACTGTTGTTAAGAGCTCTTTGCCTGATGGAACAACATGCTTTTGCAGAGCATTAACAATTCTTCTGTCCTTGAAGACTTACATATTTGTCACCATCTTGCACGAAGCACAGCCCCTCAGGGTGCCCATGGATGTTTGCTAATCCATTTTCTAAACTAAGGAGGTTTCTTCAAAGACATTATTCATGCTCACATGGATGGTGCACTGTGCTAATGCTGAGAGCATCCATCCAAGATCTCCATCAGAACAGACAATGCAACAAACTTGCTTTGTAGCCAATGCCTGGCTGAAGTCCTGTCTTGCAAAAACTTTTATTTTGCACTGATTCCTATTAAATCCTGAGACTGACATTTACTGGAACTTGAGTTTCAAAAGAAATGAATCTGTACAACTGAAGCCTCAGCAGCTGATTTACTTTAAAAATCCTGTTTAAAGAGGCACTTGATGCTTGTGGGGATGGGCAGGGGCTGATCTTCTGAATACATGTTCTCATTAATGACTGACAGCTCAAGTCACTGACTCCTCACCAACACTGCAGTATTCACAACAGTTTTAAATAGAAGTTTCAGAAAGGGAGGAAGAAACACACAGCTCCAGACTGCAGCAAGAGACCATGCTGACTTTCTGACCAACCCTGACCTTCTGCACTTTGCCAGTGAACAGGGACACACCACTCCAAAGTAGCTGCTTGTTATTTACTCGGTGCTTTGATGTGAATGACTTGACAGCTGTACAAGTTCATAAACTCCTTGGCACTCTAAGCCTTCAACTCCCAGCAAAAAAATTAATGAAAAATATAGCCATCCAACACATATGGAAATGGGTGACTTCAGTAGCCCAAAGGGCTCTTTTAATAAGAAAGAAACCAAACCAATTGATTATTTCCTAAAAATCTTATATACCAAAAAAATACTTAACACAAGCTTTTCAAAGAAATCTATATGGGATTTTTCCAGGTTTTCTTGATCCAGGAACAAAGCTGAGACTGCTCCACAGAAATAATGAAGGGTTCACCTAGAATCATGGGGATTAAGGAAGAGCACCTAGAGAGACAGGTTTATGCATTAATAAAGCAAAAGCACTGCTGGACTAGAAGGCTTCTGCATTGGGCACAGGTCACTGACAGTTCAAGAAGTCCCAAAGGTGAGTGCAGGCTGGTACCAGGCTGCTGCTCTTCATCAGCCCTACCAACAAATCATGGACAGTGTCTGCACAGGAGAGGCAGAGAAGTTCAACGTTGCCATCATCTCCAATGCAACCTCCAATTGACAGAAGCTAAGCCTGCTCTGTCCTGCTTTTTGCCTCTTCTATTTGGCTTTTAACTGGAGGCAGGATACCAGGAACAAAAAGGGTGCCCATGGCTAAAATTTGGTCACTTCACACACAGACCAAAATTATCACCTCAAATCATACCCCTCCCTGAAAAACCACTGCATTCAAAATCTCATACCCCTATGAGAATGATGCCTCATTATTTCTTTGTCTATTTCTGTCAGCCCCTTATTATGCATTGACTCAGATAATCCCAGGAACAAAATACATCTCTCACAGCATCTTGGGAGCTAGTATTAGGAATCTTAAAATTATTATCAGAAAGTCAGCTTCAGAAATTAATAGTTTATAATAAAAAGAGATATTTAAACAATGTTTCATTTCCATTCCTCCAAGAAACCTCACATTTATTCCAAAGAAACTAACATTTCAACTTAAACAGCAAATTAATATACAGTAAAAAAGAAAAATAAGAAAATATTTTCATTAAAAAGTACAACTCAATTGTGCCCCAAAAGTCTTCTTTCCTCTGCAGAAAAAGAAGTCAATAGTATCATGAAAAAACCCCATTATTTACATATTAAATAAAGGATAAGTTACCTGACAGCTTTAATTCCTCTATTTCAATCACAGAACGGTTTTCACCAAAATGTTGACTAAGCAGATTTTGTAGATCTGCAGGGACACCAGGTTTTGGAGCAGATTTTTGCAGAACATCAGAAATCTTCTTCTAAAAAATCCAAGTAAAATGGTTAATATGGTATTTCTGTATAGCTCTTTGGCTAGCTAACAACGCTGTACGTAAATGTTCTCCATATCTTTATACAGGTATATCAGTTTAATTATGGCTTAATTGGGAAAACACCTTACAGTGGGACAAGATTCCCTGTGTCTTTAGAAGGAATGCAGACTTCAGATGCAAGCTGAGGTACTTGGACAAGATGGTCTGTGAGCCTGAACATGAAAAATCTTGTGCACTCACCTGAAATGCTGCTGTAACAAAAACACAACTGAAAGCTCTTTTTGAGTTTTGCTATTGCTACACTTTAGTATCAGATTGAAAGTTCAGGCTTTTTTCCCCTTATTTGTTTTAGTTTATTATTCTTAAGGCATAACAACAGGAATCAAATGATAATTATGTGGTTATATTTTGATTTACACAGGGTAACTATCTATCTATCTATATTTGGAAGGGAAGATGGTTAGCTATATGCACAGAATACCACACCAGGGTGATGAAAATTAGTTAAAACAACAGAACCACAGGTCAAACAGCAGGAACTCACAGCTGCTTTGCTCTCCCACACTGTAATTATTTTAAAAAAAAACTACTAATTTTTAGAGACTGAACATGAGTTCATAATGATTGTGTTCTGCACCTTAGGAATGTTACTAAGTAACAGGTCTGAATTCTCACTGAAGTGACAGGATTGCTGTATTTTTTGCCATAATTAAATGGAATATGTGGTTAGAATAGCCCAAGGTTCCCATTGCCAGCACTTAAGAGAAGCAAATGATAAATATTTTAGAAAACAGCAAATTTGCAAGGACAGAGGCAGTCTGGAGAGAATGACAAGAATGTGATGCCTCTCTAGTTCTTGCTGAGATGTGTTTAGATTTTGAAAGGACAGTTCAAGGTTTCTCAGCTGTGTAAGCTCAACCGAACTCATCATCAAGGGGACACGTGGTAGCATAAGTAGAGATGAAAAGGAGCAGAAGGATGTGCTGAGGATGGAACAAAAGGGTCTGTATTTTTGAGGCAAAGTGGGATTTCACAGAGATGAGGTGGATATGGAAAAATTTTTGGCAGCTTTGGAGGGATGGTGGGTACCTTTAGTTTGGCAGGCTGAGGTTCAGGACAGCAAAGATCAATAAAAATTTTGAAGAGAAGTATGGCAGGAATTGTAATGTCAGGGACAGACCTTCTTCCATCCATTCTTTCCCTCACTCCATCTCAGCACCTACTCCCTCCTCTCTTCCATCCCCCATCATTCTGTCTGTCCCTCTTGCCCAATACACCCCAAACACTCCAATAACAGCAACATGAGGGGCAGAATGCTGAACAGGGAAGGGCCATCTGGGGGCTGCCAAAACAGCACAGGCAAGGCAAGCACTGCCTCTCCCACCATTGCCACTGCCTGCTTCAGCCCTGCTAAAAGCCACCTGTGCGTTTGCAAGACCCCAGCTGAGCCTTTGGCAGTGGGGGACATGGAGATGAAGTGGTTTTGCCTTCCTCTCAGTCTAGCTCTGGCCTGGTGCAAAGCCCTCTGCAGTCCCTGGAAGACTTTGTAGAGGACCTCTGGCTGTTCTGCAGTGCTTCCAACTACAGCATTCCTTCCCAAGATTCCCCTTCACTTACCACTGTTGTATTTTCCTGCCATGGAACAAGTGCCTTCCCAAAGCATGACCAGAGGCTGTGGGAGCACAGCCAGCCTCTCTGTGAGACCCACAACCAAACCTCTCCATTGTTCTTCCCAACAACCCCAGATGCTTTTCCCCAGCCCTGCCTCACAAGCTGCCTGTGAAATGACCCACATTTGGGAACCTCTGATGTAGCAGACAGCAAGACAGATCAGGCTCATTTTACCTGGTAATTCAGTGTAATTCACAGGACTGATACATTATTCATTGTGCCACTTGCTTCCTTCAAAAAATTATTGCCCTCTGGAGGGGAGAAGCCTGATACAAGGAGAAATTCTTTAAGAGCAAGAGCAAGGACACCTGAGCAAACTCTCTTCCTTCAAGGAGTGCTGTGGGGAAATGTTCCTCATGCAGGAAGTTTTATTATTTTTCTTCCAATTCATTCCAGATGCTTAAAAACAAAAGGGCTTTCCCCCCTTTTCCTTACTTTTGGAGACGGCACTTTGTTTGGAAGCCACAGATCAACATAATAAATGTTTCCTGATGGGATTTTTTGACAAGCTGTGTCTGTCAGCTTAGTGGCCCACTGAAAGCAAAGGTGTAAGTAAGCAGCTGCTGTTGGCCTGAGAATGGGGCTCCTTGCTAGGTGGGTTTGCCAGCCCCTGCCATGGCATGCCTTCACTCTGGCTCCAGCGGAGTGAGTGCTGCACTCACTCTGCCAGAGCCACATTGAAAGCAAAATCCCACTCTTCCCTCTTCCCATTCCCTGGATGGTTAAGAGGGCTAACATAACATAAAAAGGCCACCCCTCAGCCTTGTGAGGGTGCCAACTATGTAGAGTCTGTCCCCCTACATAAAGACAATTAACTTGCCTGGTGCCAGATAATCTCCATTTAGACTGCAGGGTGTGTTTGTTGTTGTGGGTGAGGATGGAGCATGGCCAGAGGGACAATACAGAGTATTTATTTATATACTTATGCAGAGAGGAGAGGAGTAAACAAGGACAGTCCTTGGCTCAAAAGATGGAACGGCAGCTGGAGCCTGACCGCATTGGGGGAATGGGTCACATTCTGCAGCAACTGAAGTTCCACCTTTCTTCCATACAGTCACCCTTTCCTGGTGGGCAACAATTGCAGATGGGGTGTAGACATACACAACCTGTGGCAGAACCAGCTGCTGGTTTCTCTGGGTCTGGACTGAAGGCACGTGAGATGGCAGGTCATGTTCAGACTCAGGTGTTTACTGTTTCTTATCAGTAAAACAGTCTCACTACTGTGAGTTTGGCAGTTTTTCATTAGCAAAGCACAAAATGGGTAACAATCTCTGGTTACAAGGTCTTTTAAGACTAAACTATCCAATTAAGAACTGACACCTAGATTATTTTCCCTTTTAACCCAATAACTGATCCCAAAGAGCCCACAATGGGGACTTTTCTGCCCAATCACAAAATGCTACACAAACCCAAGAAGAAGAAGGAAGAAGAAGCATGAAGAAGAAACCCAGGACAACACCTCGTGCCCTCCATCTTTCTTCCATCCACAGCATTCTAAAAATCCCAAAACCTAAGTTTCTCACCAAGTGATACACCTACACTACTCTCTATAATCTATTGCACACTTTTGTGGATTCTAGTATATCTTGAAGTCTAGGAAACTTTCTCCATTAATGAAGGTCAAAGTCAGTGCTCCCCTGGGGGTCAAGGCACTCCACAGCAGACAGAGAAATATCCCCAGTGCCCTGGGTTTCCACAACAACCCTTGAGTGGAACAGAGACAATGCCATAGGTCAGGTTGGGAATAGGTATCTCAAGTAAGATTTAAAAATTAGGAATTTCTCTCCTTCTCTAAAAGAGGCTGCAATATTATGACCATATTACTTCTCATCACCACGGGGTTGTCCCCATTCTGCATCTTGTAGCAGCATTTAAGCCCACTTGCCAGACCCCAAACACACTCTGGGACACTCATACCTTCTTCCTCTTCTTTGCCTTCACAGCACTCTCTTGCTTTTCTTCAGGCTGACTTAAAAAACACTCTGTAGGCTGCAAAACACATTAAAAAAATAAGTAAGGAAAATGTCACCAAAGGAAGGCAAAGGAGGTAAGAGGAGATACAGAAATGATAATGTTGGGCTAGGAAAAAACAATTAAAACTGAACTTCCCCACCCTTAGAAGGAATCAAATCCTTACAGTTATATGTATACAAAGTAATTTTGGAGTTGAGATTGCTGTTGCAACCAGAGAGGGAATAAAAGAAGAGAAAATTGAAGCAATCAGGGTGTAGTCATAATTCCATAAAACGGTGAAAAGCAGGTTTTGATACATCAAAAAAAATCACGAGGTAAATATGAACAAAATTTACCACTAAATTTATATTTTTAATCTCCGCTATTGTGAATGATAATTTTTCTAAACTTTGCCAGTAGTGTTCTAAAATAACTAGGTCTAAGATGAGCATCAAGACAGTAAAAATAACATGGAACTGGGCAAGATTAATTAGAAACAATCATGCTCTGAAGTTCCTTCTACACTTGTAATACAAAATTTAGGAAATTTTCAAATTTGTCCTACCCCATTCTTGCTTTGACTTTTCATAGCAGGCAGGGTCAAATACACACAAGAAAAATAATGGTGTTATCATTAACCCTCTTTTGTGCCTGAGTGAACAGGCTGAATTGGTCCATTTGTACCAGAGTCCCTGTTCACATAATCCAGGGCTAGGATTTGACCATAACCACCTAAAAAGAGGAAGCAAGGCACAGACTTCTCTTGTTTTGAGTGTAGCAATTCTCTTTTCTTTTGCCTTCTTGGGGCCTTCTACCTAATGGAAGTGTAGATTTATCTACATAGACAGGCTTTGGAACTTTGTAAGTGACTTGCTGAAGAGCAATGGGATAATAGGCTGAGCTGCAGGAAAATGCTCCACGCCACAATGATGCATTTGGCTGCAAAACTCTGCTCTTGTGAGAAAATGTGGAGAAGACTCATCACATGGAGCATTCCAAAGCTCAGGAACAGCAAATCCAGCACTCGTCCCTGGGGAAAGGCTGAAGGAAAAGTATCAGCAGGAAAGGGAGCCTAGCTGAAAGCCAGAGAAGCTGCTCCTTTGTTGCCTTGGGAAGGCAGCTTCAGTCAGGCCAGGAGGGACAAAGGAAAGCAAAGAGGAGTTCAGAGTTTCTGGGCCTTTCTGAGCCCTCCCTGCACTGCCCCACCTTAGCAGGAGGACACTTCATGGCAACTGGTGCTAAATGACCCAGCCTAGCACACTCCTGCCTGTCCAAGCCAACTCTCACAGCCTTATTAGGAGCATTTTTTGAGGTTTAATTGTTTATATTATGCCTTCTTTTCCTCCCTACTCCCCTTGCTAAATTAGCTATTAAAACACATAACCACCATGCTCAACACAAATAAGTGACCTCTTACTCTCTGTGCTGTGATGCAGCCCCAGCCATGGCCCTTGCCAAGATGGGAGTATTGTACAGCAGTGGCTCTGAAACTGGTTAAGGATTGAAATGAAACTTAGGAATTACCTATTTCATTTAATAGGTAAATGACCTAATTAATTTAATTCATTCAAATACCTAAATCTTAGGAATTACCAGAGAAGGTTTGGCTGGGGACTTGCTACAGCTAGCAAAGCACCCTACAGCTACAGCTGGAATGTCATGCAGCCTGCATCAAAACCCATGAGAAGTTGTGATAGGGATTGTATCTTGCCTCAACAACAGAATTCTGCCCCTGTGATTTTCTCAGCTATAAACAAAGATTATCTTCACTAGAAACGAAGGGAATGACTGCAAGTGGAAACTTCCTTTAATTAACAAAATTCTTCCAGAGTTAATATAAGTTTTCTTGCTTTAGTTTTGGTTTGTTGCTATTTTAAAAATCTCTGTCCTGACTCTGATTCAAGTGTTTTTAAACCACCACCATACGTTTCTTCATTCCTATCCCTATACCATTAGCATTCCCAGACATTGAGACTGAAACAGAGCTACCCTCTGCTCTACTCTTACACATCCCAGCTGTCCAGAGATACTTAAAGGCCATTAGCCAGGTGTTTTAATCATAAATTTTATGGTCAACATCCTATTTTATGCAGAGAACAAGATTTTGCATTGCTTCAGTCAAGGGCTACCTACAAGCAATCAAAAAGTCAGAGAAGGGCCAACCTTAAACTCTGTCCTCTAGTAGAGTTTGATGGTTCCCTATCCCAGTGCTGCTTCCAGCATACTGAAAAATGTCATTCATTCACTTTGGGCCCATTTCTACCTTCTTATACATCATGACCTGCTTTACATAACTCTGCAAACATTCCCAACTCGTATCAGTAGGAGCAAAGAATGAAATGTGCCACACAGCTGAAAAAATTTCTCTGAAAGAAAAAACTTCTCACTGCTAAGCCTTCATTCAAATATTTGAAAGTACCACCAAATGTCATGGCTTCTTTTTTGAAGGCAGTATGTAACCCTTTCTTTCAACAGCCACAGAAACAGCAGGCAACACAAGCACACAGCAGGCTTGTAGTCAAAGCTTTGCTTCCTTAGAGAGAAGCATGTTTGGCAAAACTGCCTCCTTTACACTGCATATATATATTTAGGCATAGTATAATATGCCTAAACTATTAGCCCAGCAATAGTAAATCCATGTTATTCAGACATTAAAAATAGTGACATAAAAAGAGAAATTTTGTGGTGGTGAATGGCTGTAAACTTACATGTCTAAAATATTTCAGCATCTGATCTACCCTGAACTTCTGACCCTTATCCAAGCATAAGTTGCCTACCTACTCATGCAATAGCTCTTTGCATGCCACCCTTAGGAAAAGGCCATTTGCATGCTTTTCTTATGCAAGAAACAAAGCAGACAACCACTGTTTTTTGACACTGCTCCCTGGTGCTCTGTGTTTTTATGCTATTTTTACATGGAAATTCTTAAAATGCAGAAAACAGGAAATTTGCGCTGAGACAAGTGATTTATGAACTAAAATGTCATAAATTCCTTGTTTGTTAATCATACACAGAGCATAAAATATTTCCTGTATTATATTTCTAACATGCTTTTTTTCTTTGCATGTTGCCAAAGTGATGGGAAATTCAAATGTAGAGTGAAAACAGTCTTGCATGTGTGTGAAAGCTTACATTCCAGGTCAACCACATACTCTGACTTTTGGGGTTTGTGACAAAGTAAACACATCACTGCATCACTCAGACTGGAGAGAGATCACTCATTTCACTGTTAGCCTGAGGACAGCCTGCAGACATGGAACATGGATGCTCATTACTCTGTTGGGCTGTCTCGTGACAGACTCTGAGGTGCCAAGTCCATTGCAGAACAACTTCCAGCCTCTGAATAAGGCAGTGTGAGTAAAATGGGTTTTATTATTTGCACCAGAACTACAAAACCACCAGCTTTCCATAAATAACTCTGATTTGGTATGTCTAAAAGACAGGCAATAACCCATCCATGACTTTGAGCTCCCATAAAGCATTTCCCTCTTGCAGTTTCACATCTAAACATCAAATTACCTGATTCCAACATGCAGGCTGATATTCTTTATGTGACAGAAAGAGCAGTGGCAGGTATTCTGCTACAGCTGAGCAGTGCCAGGCTACCTTGGTAAGTAACTTCTGTTGGCTGTCCTTCTTAAAGTTCTCATAAAAAGGGTCAAGCAACCCTTCCAAACAAAGTGTCTTAACCTACTACTAAATGCCTAAGTGAAAATGGTGATAAAAGGTTACTCCATAAGAATTCTCACTCCTCAGCATCTGACCCCCGGCAGAGCATGTACAAAGGCAATATAGCCTTCTCCTGTATTGCTTGGTTCTCTTTCCTAATCAAAATAGTGATCTCATTCAGAATATTTGGATCACTTCACCTTTGGTCTCTTTGGAAAGACATCCAAAAGCACAGTGATTGCTACCATGTTGTTTACACTTCTCTGTTACAAAAAAAGAACATCCCTGCAAATGGCTTTCACTTGGGCAGTTGCCTAGGCATTACAGAGTGAATTTACTATTGACCTTAGGGTCAAAATTCATATCCGTAACCTCAAGGAGAAAGGGCTTCCAATGTAATTTTAGCTCTCTGACAGCCACTCAGTCAATTCTCCTGGGTGGTATGAGGAAGGCAGAACAAATTTACCTTCAAACAAGAAACTTCATAAAATCAGCCAACCTCTAGATGAGTTTTTCCCTCAAACTGGGGTGATGCTGATGTTCCTTGGCCTGCTCCATGTAATGCTGAACAACACAGTTCCTCTTGGCATTAAATGAAGGTTTTAGCAGTGCAAGGGTAAGAAAACATCAATCCATGAAGACCTAAATTCTTTTTCACTTGGACCCTGAACTGGGGACATGTTTGGGTAGATAATCTGTATAACAAGTAAATATGGCTTTCCAGACTGTGTGTGTGCAGGGAAAGGGAAAAAATTGCAGGGGAGGACATTCAGTAGCAGCACCCAGGCTTGCACCACTGGACAGTCACTTTGTAGGATGGGCCTGGCAATCTCAACTCACACAAAACAAGTGTGAAGTTCTTGCTGAAATGTATTAGAGTGTGACCACTTCCAAATAAGGCAACAGAATTTAAAAAAAAACCCCAAAACTGAACAGATCAGAGAGAGTGAAGAAAACTGTCCCTTTACTGACAAAAAGGACATTATGTTTCCCTATGCATTATCACTGTTGTGCTAAACAATTACTTAATTTACAGACCTGCTTTCTTTTCTTTTTCACAGCAGGTTTGGAATCTGAATCTTGACGTGTTGCTGTCCTGTTTTCACTTGCTTTTTCAATAGCTTCATCATCTGAAGGATCTAATAAAAAAAAAAGAAGAGTTCTTGTTACTGTTTTTCAAATCCATCTACCCATCTTTGCATTCAAAAACAGGCATAAAATCTCTAGCTGAAAGGTTGTTACCATAATACAATCTTATTACTGGCAATAAATACAGCTGTATCAAATGCATCTTCTTGCTAAATTTGCTGATACTTCTTTCAAAATAAAGTTATTTCCTCCTACTAAAGCAAGTCTTGCAGATGAAGGAAAAAAGATCCAAGAAAACACATACAAAAATGCACAAAATCCCCATTCCAAGCTCCGAAATGCCTTACTGACACACATTAAAGAGGAAAAATTACAAGGCAGGTATAATGTTCTATTGTACAAAAAATACGCACACTTCCTGCAAGTACATTTGAATTGGGTCTCTTACTTCAGCAATAATTAGACAAAGGCACCACTCCCAAAGTTTGAGCAGAATGTCCACAAGACTAAAACACACTTATGTTTTAAAAGACAACTAATTAATTCAGGTGTCTCTACCGATTCTCTTCTTCATTTCTTTTATCTACAGAGAGACTTTGGGAAAAAAATAAATGCACAGCAACAGCTCCCTCCAACAGTGTTGTAATAGTGCTTTAGATGTATTCAAACACAGACTTTTATATTGGGGACTGAGTTACTTCCCTGATTATTGCCAGAAGTATTTTCCTCCATCAAACGGAATTAATTCAACTTCTGTAATTGGAATGTATCTGCACAACAGGTATTCTGTCATTACTGCAATCCCCTGTATTCCAAAGCTGTAAATTCACAGCTTCAAGATTAAGTTACTTATTTTGAAAAGAGAGGAATAGAAGGATTTCTTAAGCATCACCTGAAGTATAGATGCTATATCTATGCATCACTAGTTGTGAACAGAGTGAACTGATGGTCAGAGAACATGAGAGAGAGAGAAAATCAGTTGTAGCTGGTATTCACAAATTCCATGTTGAAATAGCTATTGACTGAAAAAAAGTAAGTGAAAGGATATGTGAGAAATATGCAAAAGAATTTAAGTGAAAGGTAAGTAAAGGCATGAAAGAGGGGAGGGAAGAACCTCTATTAATCCACAAATGTAGCATTATATATTATGCGGCAATCAGGCAGTGGCTTTAAAAATCCTAATGTGACAGAATGGGTAACAAAATGGGTACATATTTATTCCTAGAAAAACACCATCTCATAATCTTCACTCCTTTTTCCAATCTTGAAAAGCCTGTGTAACAGTCAACACCCTAAAGTTTGGGTCTGACAGCTCTTAGGAGCTCAAGAAAGTTTAAGAAGTTGAAAGATAGTAAAGAAAATCAGCTTTGTTTTAACAGGTTGGATGCCATTTGCCATGAAATCTTACTTGGTATAGACTAGATTCTTGGCAAACCACAAGAGCTTCAGAAAGAGAGCAGCAACTGAGAAGAGAATTTGTTTTCTGTTCAGTAAGAGACTAAGAGACTCCCAAGTGAAGATGGTAGATAAATACGTTAATGAACTTAATTAAAACCAAAATAAATGCCATGGAAGAAATGACAGCACTTGTTTTCTCAGTACAGAATGAAGTCATTCTGAAATCTTAAAATAGAAATTCACCAAGAAAAGCCCTCGCTTTCCAGCTCTAGAGCAAATGCAGGAATGTGTGCAGCAAGTGAACATCACAAGCTCAGCTGACCTGTGTGTTTCATTCTCCTTGCAGGCACAGCTTCAATCAGAGCTGAATGGACTGTGGCCACACGAGTGCCAGAGCCCAGGCAGAAACGATGCGCCTAGTCCTGTACAGCCCAGCACGTGGCAGCAGGTGAACAGGTCAACAAAGAAAGCCCAAAGTTTGTTGGACAAAGCTTTTCCTTGCATTACAGAGCAAATATCTTTCTCTTGAGGATGTCCAAGTGCTCCTGTACCGTTGTTCCAGATTGCAAGGCAAGGTGTATTCTATTACCATCTGTGTGGCAGTTGTCTTTTGTCAAGTGGGCAGTTTTCCTTATCTCTCTCTCTGAGTGATCATAACCACTCCTCCCTCAGGAGGGGACATCTGCTGATAACAGGCTACTGAATGTCACTGCATGACTGATAAGAACTACAGCATCCCATTGTGAGATGCTCCACCAAGAGGGAGGAGCCAAGCATTCCTACCCAGATATAATCTGGAGGTACTGGAACACCAGCACAGCTTCTCCACTGGATTCCCAGAGGAGCAGCTGCCTCTTCCACTGGATCTTCAGAGGAAGACTACACCCTTTTCTACAGGCTCACTGCTCCAACAGAACCACACCTGACACTCCAGGAGGACTGCAGCCACCATTCCAATTGGACTGCTACCAACACCCTGACCCACAGGGTGTCAGATTGAGTTCTGACTCTGTCAGTGTTGTTCTAGTGTACTGCATTGTTTATTTTATCCTTTTATTTTCTTCCCTATTAAGGAACTGTTATTTCCTGCTCCCATATTATTTGCCTGAGAGCCCCTTAATTTAAAATTTATAGCAATTCAGGGGGGTGGGGAGGGTTTACATTTTCCATTTCATTTCCATTGGGGAGGCTCCTGCCTTCCTTAGCAGACTTCCAGACTGAGACAACCATATGGCTGTCCCTGCACAGCAGCAGATCTTTCCTGCCTATTCCTCCCCAAAGTCACTGAGCAATTATGTCCCCCAGCCACTTTGGAATCTCAGATACAACACTTTGTTAGAAGAAGCTGAAAAATCACATCATTCAGCATACTCCAGAAAGTTCAAAAGGTGTCTTGGCAATTCAGTGTTACCACTGGCCATTACCATGGCCTTGTTGCCCTGTGGATCACCCTTTCTCTGGCAAATTTATTGTGCTGTATCTTGGTAGAGCAGCTTCTGTATTTAAGGGATCCATCACTGACTTCTGTCTCATTTGCCCTGACTCCAGAGGTACTGAAAGAGCAGCCAACTTTAACACACACCAGCTCCACATCTCTGGGGTGTTGGACACACTGCATTGAAGCAGGCTGTGGAGAGATGATATAAATGAAGTACATCAAAGAAATCAGAATTGCCTCTTCATCCCTCTTGCTGACTGTGCTTGAGCCTCAAACACCCACTCCAAAATGAATTTGTGCATGTTTCACTGAAATGAACTGTTGTGTGAGCTCTTTCCAGTGTTTCACATTGAAAATAAATTAGAATTGCATCAAATAGATTCAGGGGAAGCTGCCTGTGATCTGCAAGCATTCCTTCTGAAATCCCACTTGGCATGCTCTGAAAGGCAAACAGGAGTTGTGTAAGTCTTAAATAACCTCTTCTCTTTCTCACAACTGAAAGACATGCTGCTAGCAATAGCAATCTAAAACTGGACAAATGGTTTCCATGATCTGAAATAGCCTGACAATGTGCCACCTGTTCACTGCTCATTTGAGTTTTGGACAGCACTTCATGGTGCAATGTCCTCTGCTCTCAGCAAGAAGTGAGAGAAGAGGGCACAGCCTCAGACTCAACAAACATCAGATCAAATTTGAGCATCTTTCTGCAGTATCTTTATTTCAGACAACTGGAGAACTTTCTATCTATTCCAGAAACAATCACCCACGTCCCAGTCAGGACAGCAGCACATCTCAAGCTGTAATTGCTTGTGACACCATGTCAGCTCCTGTGATGACAGCAGCATTTTGTTACAGGCATCAAAGTACCACAGGCCAGACTCTGCCAAGCATGCTCACATTAAACTGTGTACCTTTCTCTGCAAATAGTTACCTTGATGTCAGTGGGGTTACTCACAAAATAAATCATAACTTGATGCAAATCTGTGCAGAAGCTCGGAGATCACAAGCATGTCTGTAACAGACCAGCACTGTTTGCCCTGCTCTGAGGTGTTGAGCTTCCCAGGAGACCTCTCTCTGCCAGAACAGGAGAATTCAGAAATCCTTCCTTAATAATAAGCTGGTGAAAATGCAGAACCTAACTGATTAATACAAAGTTGACTTTCATCTGGCTTGAGGTGCAAAGGAGGGGGCAGGCAGGCGCTGACAGGACACACTGCTTGCAGGGTGATGCTGTTGAGCACAGCAATTCTCTGCTTCCCTGAGACTTACACCATTTACACAGCCACAAGGTCGTCCAAGGCATCACAACAGTCACAAAGTGCTCTCAATAAGGAAAAATAAATGGGAATTCCACAACTCTCCATGTGTTTTGCTTTGGTATTACATCAGCAGCATGGCACATACTAACAGGCTTCCCAGTCATGAAGCATTTATATTTGATCTTATTTTGAAGCATGCAAAAATGGACAAAAGCCATTTCTGCTTCACAAATGCACACACACACACACACAGAGAGACTTTTTCATTTATATCAATCACTGTTTAAAATCATCCAGTGCACTGGTTTGTAACTTCTTTCAAATTTAGTACTAACATATGCATGTAGTCTAAGCACATCAATATGTGTACTAATTATACACATGTAAACACTCCTATTAATACATACACATCTGTATGTTTATACACATTCACGTAAAAAGTACAGAGATATTTAGATAATTTAACAGGCTCCCTCTAATAATCACCTTTATTAACTAATATATTCACAATGAATTCATATTTTTTCATTATTTACTGTGGTATTTTTAAAGGCAAACAAGACCTTAATGATATAGGATGTAATGACATGTGCTTTGATGTGAATGCAATTTTGTTCATACAAAATAGCTGGTACACACAAATTTGCATTTGCTAGGCTGATTCACCATTTCTGAGACTTCTTCACATGCCACTTTTCTACTCTGAAATTATTAACATAGGAGTTATAATGACAACGACATAAATAATTAATTCCTGTAAGAACCAAGGCTGACTGAAAAAGTGAAACTCTTCTAGACAGAACAATTTCAAATGCCCCAAAATAAACAAAAAGTTATGACTGAAAATAATCTTAGAATTCTTTGGGAAATGCAGCTTGTGGTTCAAGCCAGCCTACGTCTGAAATAAAGATAAATGCAGCTCACAGAAATTATGCCAGCCATGGGAAGCCTGTTA